CTGGTACCATACGGCAACATCTGAACCGATGCAATCGATGAGAAACGAAGCTACCAGTTGTTCCCTTGGTCTTCGCTTCGCTACGGAATCTGGGGCGCTACGGACGATAGGAGTCGCACGTCCGTCACGTTCGGCACGTTCATGCTCGTGGAACCATGCATGAACGTCAATACAACGACGACCGACGCGGTGTGATCGCATCTCGTACCATTGGCGCTTCGACGTTCATGTTCATCGTAGGTTAAAATTTGGTGCGAGCTGGACGTTGAACATTACCAGCATCCGTTAGGACCTCGCCGACACGCACAGTTACTACGTCTCATCTTCACATCGCCATGATAAGCAACATGCTACAACTTAGCAGCGCGCTTGAGTGACGCACTTTATGGTCAAGCAAACGAATCCATCTCGCTTGCTAATGACTCTCGTCTCAGACCTTTCTGTACTCAACAAAGCCGCACCACCGAGTCGTAACAATGAAAGTGTCCAGTCTGATTGCATTGGGGTGGTCGTGCAACGATGCGCTTCAAACAATACTGAGAGATGTCGAACGCAGAAAATACAGATCTATGCTTTGCGTGACACGATGCAAGGTCGCGGTCACCTCGTTGTCCTGGAAGTACACTGCTTACGACCCATGACTAAATCATTGGAGAGCTCGAACAACACGTGCCCTGTTTACCAAGGCCTCATACGGCAGAAGCGTAGACGCCCGGAGCTGAGGACGTGCATTTCCAATGTAACCTGATGAACGGCAACGATATTTTGGCTGCCTTCGGCATATTCGTTCCGGTTCTCGGCAGGGTAGTTGGGGGATACTTGATAGAAGAAAATGTCGTACCATCGACTGTGATTCTGCAGCTCGGAGCAACGCTGATTGATCTCTGCTACGCTATCACGAAACTTAATGCAACGAGACAATGGCGCGTAAGGATGGGCATGAAGTCACCTACATAAACCTTTTTTCACCAGGATGATAAGCGCTAGATGGTTGAGCGTCGAGTGCCATCGACCGGTACGCGTAGAAGGAAGAAAGAGCTTCCAGGCGAAAGGACGATGAACCCAAGAAACGATTAAGGGTAGAACACGTGGGTGAGCGGTCATACTTGCGCTGCGCAAATCTCATCGAATCCGTTTGCGCACATGGCGAGACGATGTTATCGTCTTAAGTCAATCGCTGAGCTATCGTGCTTTGGTGGTTCGCATTCTGTAACTTATACATCTCCTGTAAGACTGTGCATTGAACTCAAACTGAACATTTGGTGCAATCTTGCGTGGATGGTATGCGAAAGCATTACGCTGTACTTTATCCGTTTCTTACGCAAATAATCCACTAAGTTCGAAATAATGGGTTTCGCTTCCGAAAAAAGGTTCAAGGAAACCGCCAAGTTGGGCGACAACAAAACGCACCCATAACCGTCCACGAAAGGATCCTAAGGACGGGCTGTTCACTACATCCATCTTCTCATTCCCCCTTTTGGTTTCAAGATCACATTAGTACCAATCAAGCGACGATTTCGAGAAGCAAGACTCATCCACCCCTTGCAAAACTGAACCGTATCTCCATCGCCATTTCCTCCCTCGCACTTGCCGGTAAGTTACACAGGGCACTATCCGCACATCAATATGCTTTGTCTTAGTATCGTAAGGACGAGGACTAACTGACGATTGTCTATACTTTTGCATACCCCTTCGGTGTTTGGGATCATTTGCAGACCGTTTATTCTCGCATCCGAATCCCTTATCCTCCGCTTCTCCACTATGACGGCCAAAACCGTTTTGATCACAGGCAGCAATCGCGGCATCGGCCTCGCGCTTGCCACACACTACAAGAGCGAAGGCTGGAAAGTCATTGGCTGCGCTCGCAACGTCGACGGCGCGACTGACGTACGTCGCTTTTGCCCACTCACGACTTGACACTGAGCCGTTTGGAGCGCCCTCTGACTCTCCATATCTGTCTCGTCTCGTTTGCTGCATGTCGACAGCTCCAGCGCCTCGAGCCCTGGAAACTACTGACGCTCGACACGAGCAGTGAAGAGTCAGTGGACGCAGTGGCTGCGACGCTGCAGGGCGTACCGATCCACTTGCTGATCAACAATGCTGGTGTCATGAACGCGCACGATCTGCAGTCGACGACGAAAGCAGATCTGTTGCATCACTATGAGGTGAACGCAGTGGGTCCTTTTCTCACGACTAGAGCTTTGCTGCCCAACCTCCGTCTCGCTACGGCGGCTGAAGATCCTGCTTTTGTAGCGCAAGTAACGTCCAGAATGGGCTGCATCTCGGCTAACGAGTCGGGCGGAGCGTACGGCTACCGAGCGTCAAAGTCAGCGCTCAACATGCTTTCCAAATGTCTGGCCATGGATCTCACGAAAGAGAACATTGGGTGCTTACTGCTGCATCCGGGATATGTCAAGACAGCCATGGTGGACTATCGTGGACCCATTTCGATTCAAGACAGCGTCAAAGGGCTTACGGCGATTATCGCTCGTGCCAAACTCGAGGACTCGGCCAAGGTGCTTCACTTTGAAAAGGGAGACGTTATTCCGTGGTAAAGACACGGCATGTGTGCGCTCGCAGCTCAGTGTAGCCGCGAGTAACAGCTACCACAGGAATGAAGTCTCTTGCACGCCACATTTACCGTGCGGCTTTCAGTATGTGACTTCGAATATAGCATCATAGGAAACGCTGCATCTGTCAGCTTGTGGCCTTACATATGAGGAGCTGCGTAGTAGGCTTAGATCCTCTACTTTCTTGTGCGCGTCTATGCAGCACCTTTTCTTTGTAATGAATAAAATGCACTCTGCGATGCAGCTGTGTTCAGTGTGCCTAAGCGCGGACGTCTCAAAGTGATAAAAAGGTTTGCACTGACGTTTTCAGGAACGGCGTCGCAAACTTCACACGCTACAGAATAATGGAATGCTGAGTATCGGAAGTGCATTTGTGTAGAAACAGATAAAGTTTACAGCCACAAAGGGGCGGGGTGAGAGCACACGGTACCTTCCAACCGACAGATCGCAGGAACACCTGACAAAGCGGCGGACATCGATGCCATTTGTTGGACTAGTACTAAGAAGTTTGCAGGCACAAACGAATCGCAGTTTATTTCCAGTCCAGGAACGCAAGAGCAACTTCAGCGAGTTCAATCAGCATGCCAAACCTCTCTTATCAAGTAAGTCATTTTATTTTGTATCCAAGCACGATAAAAGATGCCGAAAACTAGTGCACATATCCGTTGAACAGAAGCTGCGCTACATGTATTCATTGCTGTGAGGTTTTCACGCATCTGTCCAGTAAACGATTCCTTTGTGGTACACAGTGCAGGCTTTTCGAGCACGAGCGTACAGAGGGGCACGTCCGAAACTACGCGCGCCAGCACAGGTTGATGTGCTACTTACCGGATGTTGTGTTAAGCACTAGTCAGGCAAACCTTCGGTGACTTTTAGTCCAAGAATTCGTCACGACTGAGGGGTTACGTGCAAAACGCAGTCATTTACTCGCTTCGTGTCTGCTCAGTTTGACGGCATTGATTGCTTTTGCGTCTTTGAGCCCAGAGCTGCACGCCAGCACGCTGTGATGAGGGAGTCAAAAGACGAGCAGAACGACGTCACCTACACAGCGGATGCAGCCACATGTGATATCAGTGGCGAAGACTGCCAGATCAAATAAGCGATCGAAACCAATCGATAGCATGGAAGTCGCTGGTACTGACGATGAGGCGGATGTAGCAGAATGGTGTGGAAACGATTGAGCCATGGAAATGCGGGTAATGTAATTATCGGACCTTTCACGGACGCTCGCGACGAAGAAGCACTTGTTGACACGGTCGCTAAGCCTATCCTCACCGTAATCGATGATGTGACTAAGCTTTTATGCACGGTGGATAATTGCTGGTATGGTGCAAACCGATCTTGTCTTTTTCTCCCGTTCAAGCATCAAACAAATCCCGCTTACTGCTTCTGACGCTGGCAAGTGAAATGATAAAGCAACAGCGGCATTTCAGACTGCAATGACACTCAGAACGTAATGGCTCGGGTACTCTGGATCCACTTGTGTGCTCCGAAATTAAGCCCTCACCTGCCGTGCTTGAGGATGGAGCAATCTTTTGGCCACTTTGGGCTTCGATCCCATGAAAATGATACGTGATCAGTCGTGGTGAATGTTGGAAAACTAACTAGATCCAAACTGTTCTGAAGTGAAAACCACCGCCAGCTATGAACAAGCAGAAGACACATTAAGTGTCGATTTGCGTGATGCATCAAGACGTAGTGCGCGATTGAAACCGTTGTTAAATAAAGCGTGCACGGAGTGTGTTGCTAGCCGAATAACTGCACACATCCGTGATGGCTCCAAGACAGTCGATTGTCTGGTCTCGATGCGAAACATGTCGGCTCGTTTTACCTAAAGAACCATGTTGCCGAGTGTCAATTAGGCTGTACGCCTGTTGACCAAAGTGTAGTATCTCGCTTCGCATCTCTCGTTTCGCGGTCCGTAAGGTGATCATTATGTTCCCCTCTATCGCACATGGTTATGGCCTGTGCATTTCAAGAGGCAACAAAGTCGTGAAGTGCCGGTTGAACCTGCTGTAGTCTTTCATGTTCTTTACTGGCCGTGCACAGCATGCCGCTTTTTTGTCACTTGTTCTTCATACGCTTAGCAAATGGCTGCGATCGCCGCGAATGTGTAGGAAATAGAGCGATCTCATGGTAAAAACCATTCTGTTGCCGCGATTCACACGCTGCATAGACCCGTAATCTATCGAGTGTATTACGTCCATTAAACACCAATGTGGATTTGAAATATCGTTTTCTGCAATATCTGCACATTGACATGCGAGCAGCGCACAATCGCGTTAATCGGATCGTATGGTCTGCAATGTGCCTAGAATTGTCGAGTTTGTATATGTGTCGCGGTTAGTTTGGCATGCAAGAGGGACTCCATTCCTGTGGTAGCTGTTATTCGCGGCTACACTGAGCTGCGAGCGCACACATGCCGTGTCTTTACCACGGAATAACGTTTCCCTTTTCAAAGTGAAGCACCTTGGCCGAGTCCTCGAGTTTGGCACGAGCGATAATCGCCGTAAGCCCTTTGACGCTGTCTTGAATCGAAATGGGTCCACGATAGTCCACCATGGCTGTCTTGACATATCCCGGATGCAGCAGTAAGCACCCAATGTTCTCTTTCGTGAGATCCATGGCCAGACATTTGGAAAGCATGTTGAGCGCTGACTTTGACGCTCGGTAGCCGTACGCTCCGCCCGACTCGTTGTCCGCGATGGAGCCCATTCTGGACGTCACTTGCGCTACAAAAGCAGGATCTTCAGCCGCCGTAGCGAGACGGAGGTTGGGCAGCAAAGCTCTAGTCGTGAGAAAAGGACCCACTGCGTTCACCTCATAGTGATGCAACAGATCTGCTTTCGTCGTCGACTGCAGATCGTGCGCGTTCATGACACCAGCATTGTTGATCAGCAAGTGGATCGGTACGCCCTGCAGCGTCGCAGCCACTGCGTCCACTGACTCTTCACTGCTCGTGTCGAGCGTCAGTAGTTTCCAGGGCTCGAGGCGCTGGAGCTGTCGACATGCAGCAAACGAGACGAGACAGATATGGAGAGTCAGAGGGCGCTCCAAACGGCTCAGTGTCAAGTCGTGAGTGGGCAAAAGCGACGTACGTCAGTCGCGCCGTCGACGTTGCGAGCGCAGCCAATGACTTTCCAGCCTTCGCTCTTGTAGTGTGTGGCAAGCGCGAGGCCGATGCCGCGATTGCTGCCTGTGATCAAAACGGTTTTGGCCGTCATAGTGGAGAAGCGGAGGATAAGGGATTCGGATGCGAGAATAAACGGTCTGCAAATGATCCCAAACACCGAAGGGGTATGCAAAAGTATAGACAATCGTCAGTTAGTCCTCGTCCTTACGATACTAAGACAAAGCATATTGATGTGCGGATAGTGCCCTGTGTAAATTACAGTCCAATCGGGAAAGGAAGAGATAGACATGTAAATAACCGAAATGTAACCAAATGCCTAAAATGTTGAAGACTCTCGGACCGTGAGGATAAGGCTCCTGTCGCTTACAAAGGACGTTTCCGTACTAATGGCTGGTTGTAATGCTTTAGATGGATTTTCTCGCAGCTCGGCGTCGGTTGACGTTCCATTGTGCGCATTCCTAACATGTCCTGTTCCTCAATGCAACCGCACTGCGTTACCGGAGGAAAACTTGTGATACTTCCGCTGCCTCTTGTTCCATAAGGCGGACCTCTGACAAGTCTTCCTCCGCGTCTCGTGCCTATGTACCATCCATTTTGCTGGATCCATCTGTTGGTACGCAGACAGAGCAAGACAGCCACCACGTCTGTCTAATGCCATTCTTACAATGTCTAGTGCAGATTGAGAACATGCTGCTTGGTTGTACGGGATCAACTGAGCGATAGCTGAGATCGACCTCTTCCAAGGGACATGACATCCGCCTGACGTTTGCTCGGTCCAGTGCAGTCCCATAGGATATACATGAGCCCTTCGCGCTGCCTCATGCAGGCCATAAACCTCTTGTAGGTAGAATCGTTGCTCTTCCTGAAAGAATACACATTGAAATGATGGGTAGTTGCTGTGTAGCGAAGCCATACTGTGTACTCTAAGAGCATGCCAATGCGTCCATAGCAGTGTGTCCATCGCTGCGAAAACGGATAGTATCCACTGTCGCAAGGGCCAGCCCAGTCCACTCTCCTATATTAACTCCCATTCAGCCCGTGAAATGGTTAGTGCTGTACTCCTTCGAACGTTTGCACGTCAACGGGCGATTGCAATCACCAAAGGATCTATGTAGCTGCGAATACGCTTGTGAACACAAGCGCCGAGACTCTTGTTCTCGCTCGACTGGTGGAGAGTTTCGATCATGTTTTGAATTAAAAGTGGAGTAAATTGAGGAACGTGTGTGTCGATCACGTGGTCGAGGATCGGGCGATTTGTTGGTCGCGAGATGAAAGGATTGGACGGGACTGTCTCTCAAGTGTGCTCGATGTACCTATACGAAAAAAGCTGCGAAGGGCGCTGGGTTTAGCGCTCGCCTACCCGATCTTCCTTAATCGTTTATTGACTTCATCATCCTTAGCCATAGCAGCCCACTCTTCCATCGACTTATTATCATGGGTTGTAAGCAGTGTACTTCCAGAACAACGAGGTGACCGCGACCTTGCACCGTGTCACGCAAAGCATAGATCTGTATTTTCTGCGTTCGACATCTCTCAGTATTGTTTGAAGCGCATCGTTGCACGACCGCCCCAATGCAATCAGACTGGACACTTTCATTGTTACGACTCGGTGATGCGGCTTTGTTGAGTACAGAAAGGTCTGAGACGAGAGTCATTAGCAAGCGAGATGGATTCGTTTGCTTGACCATAAAGTGCGTCACTCAAGCGCGCTGCTAAGTTGTAGCATGTTGCTTATCATGGCGATGTGAAGATGAGACGTAGTAACTGTGCGTGTCGGCGAGGTCCTAACGGATGCTGGTAATGTTCAACGTCCAGCTCGCACCAAATTTTAACCTACGATGAACATGAACGTCGAAGCGCCAATGGTACGAGATGCGATCACACCGCGTCGGTCGTCGTTGTATTGACGTTCATGCATGGTTCCACGAGCATGAACGTGCCGAACGTGACGGACGTGCGACTCCTATCGTCCGTAGCGCCCCAGATTCCGTAGCGAAGCGAAGACCAAGGGAACAACTGGTAGCTTCGTTTCTCATCGATTGCATCGGTTCAGATGTTGCCGTATGGTACCAGTCTTGTACACTGTGTCACTCTTCCCTTCTTTTCGTGGTACGTTACGATTGCTACGTGTCACGTAGTATTCGCTACCTTCGCAATATCGCGACTTCCATGCTATGATAAAGCCCAGCTCACGGAATCGATGCATCGAAGAAAGCAGTAAGCTTCGGTCGGAAGTTTCATGGTGGAGTGCACCCGTAGGCGTGAGGTAATGTGACTGGCAAGCGCATACATTCATTCGTGATGAATCTTTTGTTTTTATTTTTTGTTTGTCTTTGAACAACAACGCGCTGTCGACTACCGCTTCTTGCGCGCATTTTACAATTTCTGATTGCGTGGTGATGTACGGGTTGGAATGTAGGGAATGAGATCGTTCCACGAACTGTGACCATCCCTGTACTCCCCTGGCAATGCAGGTAGGATTCTCACCGTTTTGTGATTGAACATCGATAGCTAGCAACGACAACATATAGATAGCAACAATAACTTGACTATGCTTTGAACCAATTTGTTCGACCGCGTTTCGATCCCCTTCTTTTAGGCCAGCAATAAGTCCGATGAAATGACCCAAAACGGTAGACTCCATTCGATAAACTACTTCGACCAGAGTTTCACCCGCTATACTAAATCATTATACTTTTCATTCGACACATGTACTTAAAGTTCCTTAAGCTGACACCTACAAGCGTTAGTAGCGAACACAGAGAAAAGTTGTGCACTGGAGCTAATAAGATTGTCGTCGAGGTGCAGAAGAAGGCATTCTGGACGGACTACTGCCGTGGTAGAACTAGATCAGTGGACGTAATATCAATCTTTTTCGCGCGGTCATCGTTTAAAACGCCTTTTTTATATAAGAAAATTAAAAAATGCCCCAGATAATAAAAATAATTATGCCTCACGTCCTACTTTGACGAAGACGCTTAAGGCATCATCGCACGTTTCCTCCCTGAAATAGGCCTCATACGACCAAGTCTGCAGACAATGAAGACATCAATAAGAGCTAAACAGAAAGAATAGATTCATTGGGGTCGATTGATATGATAATCTGTTTTTAAGTATCAAAACTGATAAGCAGGAAGGGGATGCAATCCCACAAGTAAAGCAACATAAATAGCAACGACAGCACCTATAACAACAACAGCAGTTCAAAATCAGTAGCAATAGTAGAAGCATCATCTACAAAGCAACACCAACAGCACCCGCATCACCTACAACAACAACAGCAGCAGCAACAGCAGTAGTAGCATCAACGATAGATACTTAAACAACAACAGCAACCGCATCACCTACAACAACAGTAGCAGCAGCGGTAACATCAACAGAAGCATCAATAGTAGCAGCAACAGGATCAACAATAGCAACTGAAACAACAGTAGCAAAAGAAATAACATTAATATCAACAACGTCAGCACCGACTAAATGTGTTAATTTTCTCTGTTTACGACGCGTCCGCACTCTAGCTTTGTGCGCGCCGGAGTTCTTGAACTCAGCAGCCAACTCTTCGCTGCTGGATGTAGTAGTACTTGCGTACTGTGAGGATAATTGTGAACTGAGAAATATATTGACGTATTAACCACTACCACTGACATGCATTGTTTCCTCTCTAATGATCTTGCGTCTTCCCATGGACCTGGCATCATCATCGGCTACTACAACAATATATGTGGTTAACATTTACCTGGCGTGATCATAAATCACGTAAAGAGTTATGCGACAGCAACGGTCGATCTGCAACAATTAACGGCCGCTTCCGATGATACAAAGACGCGTTAACGTACTTATATCTCGCGCCCGCGCCCGCAACTGGTAGCTGCAAGCGCAGCGCGCCCGCGGCAGAACCCTCTCCGCGGCTTCCCAAACAGGGCAAGGGTTGGTCACGGCCGTAAAATTGCAAAACGAAAGCGATTAAGGACGATGGATTTTCTGTGTTCCACATAAACATGAGTTTACGAGGACGTGGAGCATTTTTTTTCGTGATTATCTGGGGCATTTTTTTGTTCGCTTTTAAAATTTTACCGTCACATTTTTACCAAATGCCATTCTAGTAAAAACAATTTTGACCTATTTAAATTAAATGGCATCTGCTTTGTTTTATGTTTATGAATGTTTAAGGTATACATTACCTTTGGCGGACGATCTACAAGCTATCTTACTCCACTAAATCAGTAGCTTATAGATTATAGAGAAACTGTATTGCTGGTTTCTGTGCTCACTTCTTTGACGAGAATGCGCAGGTCTCGGAATATATCGCAATCGAATCGAATATTGCATTGCTACCGAAACATATGAAATGAGCATACCGGTTCGATTATTAGGAACTTCTAAATATGATATAGGCAAGTAAGAAATAACTACTAACTGATGTGGATAGTAAATTCCTTTGAATATGTACATTGAAGTAGTAAGTATACATTACTATGGCGAAATGTGTTTTTAAGGGGAACATATGATCTTGGTATTTGTCACAAATTCTTTCATCCTGCGCGAAACTGTCAGAGTTACGCCTACTTGATCATCGTTGCAAATTTTGCAGTGATAAATTATCACTCTTTTTGTAAACATCCTGCCCATTTGGTGGTCGGAACGCACTTCAACTAATGCCATCCACAAACTCTCCGATTCAGTAGGCCAGCTATCTTCATTTGCCGACAATCATTTTCACGTAGTAGAAGCTGCGCGAATACCCCACGTTCATCCTGATAGTATTGTCATCGTTCGATATTGGGCCACATTTATTTTTCATCGTTAGACACGTCTTTCTAATGTACGTTGTATTCAGTAGCGAAATGCGTATGTACGGTTCAAATTAAGGCTGTATTCGGTGACAATCAAACACGGTGAAATGAGCAGACTTTTTACTAAGCTTACGAAGCTTTGATGTTTGAATGTCGTTCGTCATGCAGATGTTTAGGAACACGCAAAGTGGAACGCATGCTCATAGATTGCGCAACGTGAACGGAGTCCGGTCGTCACAATAGAAACTGCTCATAGTGACAATGACGCTACTGCCGATCTGTGGATTGTAGTTTCTGTGCTGGAAAGATACTGCAAAGATGCTTGATAGCTATCAGTTGTGTAGTGCAGAATAAACACAAGCGCAGTTTTCTCATCCCTCTCGGTCCGCATCGAGATCGTAGCACACTATGCTGACCCTTTATGATTTGACAGTCCTAACATGGTCTATCTCAACGCGCTGACACAGAATGTTGGTGCTCGCGCTTTAGATTTGTTATGTGTTCCATCGCAAGTACTCCCGTGTCAACTACTTTCATCGTGACAAATTCAAGTGGTAAAACAGCGCAAAACTGATTGGACGCCACCAAACTGCCGGGCAGGCTCGATCACGTAAAGATTGCCACCTCAGTTGTTTGCATCTCGTCAAATGTATTAATATTTAACGTCAGTTCAATTATGCGTATGCTCGAACGTATAGTATACCTCGACGGTGCATTTTTTATCTTTGTGATGATTCGGTGTATTCTTTTTCACATGCAATGACTCGAATGATCAGTTTGTTGCTGTAATCCACAATTTGTACGATCACAATCCCAGAATGAATCGTGAACGAGCCGATGGGATCAGTAAACCTGACGAAACACGATACTCTGGGGAGGTCGAAGAAGTGGAAGTCTATTGGGGTTTCAGTTAATGTCGTTGACATCGTCAGTTACGTCAGCACGATAGGAGTTGTGGCGGCTTCGCTTTATCTATATCCTAACATCTTGAACGTCGCAACACTGTCTCTTTATTGCGAATCGATAACACTATATTTCGTACATCTGATGCCTAAGGCTATCTTCGTTACAGTCAAGTGGCCACGTGCATACGAGCGACTCACGAATTAGAGACTGACTATCAACCAATCAACAACGTGCGTGCCCGACCTTGGTCATGGCGCCACACCAGCCGCTGTTGCAGCTCCTGCGCGGCCCTCGCGGCAAGCTCTGGGAGGTCTGCATCGGCTTGGAGGTGCATGCGCAGGTGCTCAGTCGATCGAAGCTCATGAGCGGCGCTGCAGCGGCCACGCTATCGTCAGTGCGACCCAATCGCCACGTCGGTTTCCTCGACGCTGCAATGCCCGGTACGTTACCGGTCGTGAACCGCGAGTGCGTCCACCAAGCGATCCGCACGGCTCTGGCTCTGAACGCAACTGTTCATACGCGATCGCTGTTTGAGCGTAAACACTATTTCTACTGCGATCTGCCGCTGGGCTATCAGTTGACGCAGCAAAGAGCGCCCGTGGCGTCTGGAGGCGCGTTGCGCTTTGACGTTGCGCTGTCGAAGGTCGTGAATGAACACGGAGGCGATTGGGGGTCAAACGAGACGACGTTTGATGCGTCCAAGTTCAAGTCGAGGAAGGAGAAGAACGAGGCGCGGACACGTTGGAAGGCCGAGCAGATGAGCAACCAGCAGGTGCAGATGCAATGCAATGGTGTTGGATTAGTTGTGTGCTTTTTTGTGTGTTTGCATTTGTTTCAGTTAGTGTTTTCATGACTTGGTACGACTGCGTCTAACCCGGTGTATCTTTTCTATGTCGTCATGTGCGTGTGGGAATGCAGGACGTGGTTTCGAGGACTGTACGAGTTTGTCGCATCCAGTTAGAACAGGACTCAGGTTTGTCGCTGTTTGGAATGCGGCCAGTGTAGTCATTGTGATGTTGCAGACGATGATGATATTTGCTTGTTTGTTTGCTGTTGTTGTGTGTGAATCTGTCGTTTGTAGGTAAAAGCAACCACGACTTGGAGGAAGAGCACACTGTTGTGGACTTGAATCGTGCTGGTACGGCGCTGCTGGAAATCGTGATGGAACCCGATCTGCGGAGTCCGCTCGAAGCTGGCCAGGTGATGCGCCAGCTGCAGCACTTGCTGCGCCATTTGGATGTGTGCGATGGAAACATGGAGGAAGGATCGATGCGTTGTGATTTGAATGTCAGTGTGCGACCGACTCATCTTGGAGAGGATGCTGATGCAGAGACCCTCCATCGTGCGTTGACATCGACTGCTGCAGCTTCTTTCGGCGAAAGGGTAGAGGTGAAGAACATGAACAGCATTCGCAATATGGTGCGCGCAGCTGAGTACGAGGCAAGACGGCAGATCGCGCTCATCGAGGGAGAAGGTGGAGAGGTGCACCGTGAGACGCGTTCTTTCGACGCCGCGACTGGAAAAACTGTACGTGTAACGGTTGATATGCGTACACCTTTCGTATTGAGCTGACTCGTAGTGATTTGTTGTGTCGGTGTTGCTGTTTGAACCACAGAGACGCATGCGATCAAAAGAGGGAGCGAAGGACTATCGTTTCTTTCCTGATCCGGATCTGCCTCCCCTCGTCTTTACAAAGGACGTTGTTGAGGAAATTAGTCGAAACATGCCGGAACTGCCTGATGCGCTTGAACGTCGACTGCGTGCTCAGTATGGACTCACATCTTACGAAAGCTCGGTGCTGGTGAATGAACCTGGAGCAGCACGCTACTTCGAGTCAATTGCAGCACAAAACTCGAGACCTTCGAAATTGGTTGCAAATTGGGTCCTCAACGATTTGTTTGGGCATTTGAAAGCGTCGAACGGTGACGTTGGCAGTTGCCCGGTGGAAGCTGCGGAACTCGGTGCTCTCATTGACCTTATTCAGGACGGGACCATATCGGGCAAAATTGCCAAGGATGTACTAGAGTTGATGTTTTACGAAAATGAGGCCAGAAAAACTCCGCTGCAAATTGTAGAAGAGAGGGGGTGGAAGCAGATTGAAGATGTCGAAGAGATTCGTGCATACTGCCACGCTGTCCTCGGTGACCCGGTACGTTGTCTAATGAGTCGTGACGCGCCGGTGTGCACGTTATCTGACCAACATTGGCTTATTTTGTAGAACACAAAGAAGAATCTTGAGGCGTACCAAAACGGCAAGACGCAGCTGTTCGGGTTTTTCATCGGTCAGGTAATGAAGCGTTGTGGCGGGCGGGTTCACCCAGAGCTCGCGAATAGCGTTATGCGAGAGACTCTTGACAAGCTCAATCAATAGACGGCATACGCGAAAAGGCTAACGTTGTGAATAGCTTCGTGCTTATGGACGAGCTACATATTGTAAACGCAACCCCAGACAGCGGACTAGTCAAGCTTGACAACGCACGTGTTCTAAACCGTTATGGCAAAGTCTGATTTGCAAAACACCGACACTGGCAACGAAGTCACGCAGCTGACTGCAGTAAACCGTACGTTTGCAGGAGCTTTTTGTAAATCAGGGCAAACAGCGCTACGACGATAGCAATGGTCAAGTAGTGCAACACCGTGTCCACATAGTCCGACTCACGCACTTGGCCAACTTCGGATGCAGCGACCGACGTGTCAACATTTCGTCGCGATTCGGCCGCTCCCAGTTCTTGTGCTTCTATCGGTTCCCCACCAGGCGACGATACCGCAGCTGATGTGCCAGAAGCGTCTCCACCATCGGTACGGTTTGATCCATCCGTAGTCGCCTCGGCCTCTGATGAGACAGCTATCGTATTCAGCAAGGCCTCATCTCCAGTCTCAGCACGGCTTTGTGCTACAACTGAAGGTGCCGTAGCCTCCTCTTGACCATGTTCACTGTTCATCTCTGTTGCACTGGCAGTCTTTTTCTCGTCCAACGTGGCGCTTGCTGGTGCAGCACTTTCCAAACCGTGGATGTGCAGCTGTGCGATCTGTTCTGCATACTTCGAGGGCTTTTTCTCGTCTCCCTTCTCGGCAACTAGCTCCGGCAACAACTCGGCGACCCGCCCACAAGTTTCGCACTTGAAGTCGACCGACTGCAGGCAGCACATACACATGAGTAGACGTCTTGCGACCGACTACGGAATACCACGGGACTGTCGGCACGTTCATCTACACGCACCAGTTTCGCCAGCCGCTTTCTCTCGTCCGGGGAAAAGTCCAGAGCACCAATCGCGCCCTCGCCTTTCGTGGGCATGAAGCTAGTCAGCGCCTCCAAGATGAGCCGGACGCCCCACGCCGGCTGCCACTCTTCCGGGTGAAAGGCTGAAATGCTCAGACAAATTTTCTTCTTCACTTCAAAGCGTCCATTTGGCTGCCGAAGGAACAACAACACAGAAAACAACCATTACATACAAAGTTAGCACAATCACACTCTCCATCCTCCCACAGTGGAAAAACAAAGAACCACGTCTCGTCGTACAGCATCAACTAGTGCTATTCACTAGTATGCTGTCGTACCGTTAGCAGCATAATATTGGGTGGCTTGAACGGATAATCCGACGGCAAAATAATGCGTCCATGGTAAATCCCGCCTTCGAACTCCGTCTCGCGCGGTCCACGCAGTGTAAAGTGCCAGTCAAACATGTTGGTCTGTTTGTGGACCACATCACATACGCATACACAAAACGTGTCATTAATGTTCGATACTTTGTTGGTACAACATCAAGTCCGGCGATGCACCTCGAGCGGCGCCGCCGCGTACTGGTCGCTCGGATTCGTCATCATCTCGCGCACGTCCTGCAGCACCACAAGAGAAGATGTGAGTTGCCGGGGGACGTTCAAGTGAGCTGCTGATATGATCCTGCACCCTACGCCTTGGATGCGCTTGATGGCAGTGTTGCGAACGCTTGCGGCCATGCTGAAGTCAGAGTGTGTCGACAATTTGACAAATGTTGCTCGGATGTCGCGCGTTGCCGACGGTGATGGGGTGGTAATGTTGCGCGCTACCGATCCTGATGGAGGGAGAATGTTGCGCGTAACCGATCCTGATGGAGGGAGAATGTTGCGCGTAACTGAACCTGATGTGTGAAGAATGCTGCCCTTTTTACGTGAGGTGGTCTCCACAAGCCAGTGAGTGGTTTGACTAGCTCACCCTACTGACGGACTTTGGTAATTACGCGTCGAAAACGAACACTTGCGTGGGAGCAGAGATAGAGGCTGAGGGTCGGGTCTACGTGGTGCGCATCAGCCATTGTCGTCGTAAAACGCACACCTAACTCGAGTCTGGCTCAAAATGGGAAAAGGGGCATGTCGCACGTCATTAGTTGTGTCTGTCTGATTGTGTTGACATGAGTGGCACCTCGTCTATCATCCCATGACCTAAATATTTGGCTTTTACCGTATATTGCGATACAAGTTGCTAACGTGCGAAGAAGACTCAACAATATGCGAAACTGCAACGTCTGGAAACAGGGTTTCGAGCTCCCGTTCGCGTCCTGGTGGTGATGACCTAACGGCGTGGACGGAATTGAGCACGGAAGTACACACGCATCGTTTGCCGACGGAGGTTCAAGGGTGCGATATCAGTGCGAACATGAGCAGAAGTTGTAAACAGATAGAGATGGGATCAGCTATCATCACACGCGAGTTGTCACGTCCAAGCAGTCACGATTTGTGGCGGTGCGCAACCTGCTGAACCTTGGACGGAGCAAATGGATGGTGCGACTCGGAAATGATTCGACTGCAGTGACCTGCGACGGCGACTATCAACTTGTCGATACATCGAAAGGGATGTGAGCCCGTCGTTGACTAATTTGACGTCAGAAAGGATAGGTGTCGATTCGACAAACGAGCAGCAGTATTCTGACGCCAGGACGAGGTTGTTATTGCCTAGTCTTGTTTATCAATCGTCCGATCGAGTCTTTGGTCGTCAGTCCACGTGCCAAAATGTCGATTCTCACGCACGTGATAACTGTAGTACCAAGGTGCTCACACGAGCCACGTTACTGGTTGCTGTTCTTTGTAGTATGCCTTCTAGCCTGTCTGTCAACGCTACTCAGCAACATCGAAAAGCACCTTCATGTTGCACCAAGCTTTTTCTTGTGGGGTGGTTGAGCTCGCAAGGCTTACACATCGAGGAGTGGAGGGCACTGATCGAACGAGTTTGACGCGTCAGTATGTCAAGTGCAGGCACCGGCACGAATGCGCGCGAGCCTAATGCGGCTAAGGAAGGACGTGCAAGGTGTTCGGAAAGAAACCACACTGGTAGTGGTTGTTCGATCTGCGCGAGTGAAGATGCTTCTGCTGCTGTGTGGTACAATTGGTGTCAGGGCTGCAAAGAGTTACTGAGCTTACCGCAGAAGAATCGCCACGTCTCTGCGCCAACGTGTCAAGCAGCCTGAGTCGTGCACCGAAGACCTTCTACGGATCGCCAGGTCCCGACGAAAGAACGATTCAGCTGCCATGTAAGGTCCAACGTGATGCCATCGAGACCGCGCATTGACGCCTTCGTGACCGCCGCAACGTGAGTCGTAGGGCTGATGACACAAGGGAAGAGGGAATCGACGTTGTCGTCCTCGCTGTCGAAGTCTAGTCCTTCGACAGTCAGTTTGCGCGGCAGCTGCTTTTTCATTCATTACCAGCAGTAGAAAAAGGTGCGGAACAGCTTCTCTTGCAGCTCAATCGTAAGCGCTGGATCTTTCGATCTCGACAGTCTGAGTGTTCGAGAAGTCAACACGAGTGTCTAAGCTGCAGACGGCAGAGGAAGAGTAAATGTACAGAGGCGGCTTGTGGCCGTCAGACGACTACAGGTGCCATAGCAAGAGCTCAGTCTCAACCGCATCTGGACATAACCGCACATGCCCCGACCGGGCGCATGGACTGCAATCTCAGTCGAACTTTCTGCGTTCCAAGCCGCAACAGGTAAGTTTTATGCATATCCATGTGCACGCGTACTGACGTGAATTCGAATGCAGTCCACGCGAACAACAGACAGGCGAGTACCACCGACTCTTTTCCATCCCCGTGTCCGATGGGCACTGCGAGCTGCAGGACTGTGCCAATTTCTCAGCTGCATCAAACGTAGTCAGTCTAGACTTAACCATCTACCGCAGACATCGCCTCTGCCTGCATATCATCCACCGTCATGTTTGGCCTCCGATTCTCGCGCTGGTACTTGTTCGTTGCTGCGTTTGCAGTGCAGTTCTGTCTCAGTTGCATCTACGCCTGGTCGGTACTCAACCGCCCTATCGATTTCGCCATCTACGGGGATGCCGCAAAAGGTCGAGCGGTCAATACCTTTTACATTTGCGTCGGAGTCTCCGGACTCGCAACGGCCGCTCTCGGCCCAATCGTTGAACGCAATGGACCTCGATGGGCTGTCTCCATTGGTTCGACCCTGTTCCTAGTCGGTCACGTCGTCACGGGGATCGGGTGCCACTATCAATCCATCGCCTGCATCTACGTCGGCTACGGTGTCATCGCCGCCATTGGAATGGCGATGTGCTACGTCTCTCCCGTGTCCACGCTTCAAAAGTGGTTCCCCGACTACCGCGGCACCGCCGCTGGCTTTGCTATTGCTGGATCTGGCGCCGGGGCAGCGGTCTGGAGCAAAGTGTACCTGCCCACAGTCGACGCAGTTGGTCTTCCGTGGATGTTTGTCGTGGTTGGGGCCGTCATGAGTGCCATCATGTACGTGTCTCTTATCGCCCTGCGCGTTCCGCCTCAAGATTACACTGTAAACGGTCTCAATATCCACGGCGACTGTGTCGACGAGATCGAGGCTCTCGACGAAAAAGCCGATATTGACGCATTCGTTGTAGTCCATACACCCACAGTTAGGGAAGCCGCAAATAACAACAATGTCACTGCCACCAAGCTGCCGACCAAGCTGCCGACCAAGCTGCCGACCAAGCTACTCACGCTCAAGCAAGCCGTGCTGACGCCCGATTTCGTTCTCATCAACATCATGTTTCTCGCCAACCAGCTCTTTGGCGTCATCGTATTGGCCCGCCTCTCGAGTATGTGCACCGACCTGTTCAGCCAAAGCGCCGCCACGGCGTCCGACATCGTGTCCATCAACAGCGTGTTCAATTGCTGTGGTCGTCTCGTGTTCTCGGGCGTCTCGGACTTGCTGGTGCGCTGCTTCAATGTCGAGAAGGCATTTGCGCGCAAGGTCATCTACTACATCACGCTGGGCGTACAGATTGTTGTCATCGGGTCGTTGCCTACAGTGATTCGCGACGACAACTTCACGTACTTTGTCGTGGAAATGTTCGTGCTCACGTCAAGCTACGGCGGCGGCATGAGTACAATCCCGGCTCTGCTCACGGACATGTATGGCGCGTTCAACGTTGGCCCGATGCACGGCATCACGTTCTTATCCGCGGCAATTGGTGCTGTTGTTGGAGGCATCGCCTTCAACGCCTCCTACAGTCACAAGGTCGATAGTGGCATGACCATCGGCGAGGCGTATATCGACAACTTACAAGTTATCCTGATTGTCGTCTGCCTTGGGTTCGCAGTGCTTCTGTTCGTGCGAACAGACGAGAACGACCGGCTCGAACCGGGCTATCACTACTCGCTGTGTGGGAGACGTGTCGTAAGCATTTCCGCAAAAAGCAAAAAAGAGTCAACGGCTGAACAGTGCCAAGAGGCTGCTGAAGCCGAAGCCACAGTGGCAGAGAAACTGCCTGCGGGAGCTGTGTAAGTGCAAAAAAGAAAAGAGCGGCAGTGCGTGCTTGTTGTTCTTCGCACACATGGCGAGCCTTTTCGAGTAAACCGTTCAGCACAATCGACACAGAGCAGGTGTGGTGTGTGTGTGTCTCTCTCTCTCTCGCATGTCGATGATAGAGGTTTCACGAATTGATGAAGCGATGTCGTTGGTCAAGTGCTGTTTGCATCTCGTATCGAAAGGATCCGTTTCAGTCACGTCGCTTCAACGCAGTCGCTGCGTTTTCCCGCTTTAATTGCTCTTGGGTTCGCGACGCTCGACGGGACTCGCCCTCTCTGCGCACGAAGATCGCGGCCGGAATAAGCACGACCAGCTGGACGCGCGTTCGTGTCGGTAAATACTGGCTCGGCGTCCCGTTGACTGGCCGTTTCGACTCCCACCGTTTGACCCTCAGCCAATCAGCGCGCCGAAGAATTTCCCCACACCGTTCGTCGGGGCATCGCACTTCAACGTGCGATCTTTCACGTCCATACAAACGTCAAGTCATCTACCCCACGCACTTTTCGCCGCAACAGCTGGCAGCCACACGGTTCTGGCTGCCAATGAGCGATCGCGCGAGTGGTATCGATACCAGCGCGCGGGTTTCGCAACGGCTTCTTTTGCCTCGGCGGTCTTTCCACTGCTTGCAACAACGGCAGCCTCGTCTGACGAGCGAATAACCGATCCAAGGCCAACTCGCTTTTTTCGGGTGCTACTGACTTGCCGCGTGATCCTGAGCTCACATTACAAAAATAACTCGCCACTGCTGAGCTCGACGGGTACAGCTGGTTTTGCATCTCGCCAACGACGTGACGCTCGAGGTTTTCGTTGAGACTCTGCCTTATAAATATCGACTCTATCTTCGCTTCGTGCGCTCATTCTATCGATTTTCATCGAGGTGCGGTAAAAATACCACAGCGAGCGAACATGATGTGGGAGCACGCAGATGGCTCAATTGTTTGTTGAATGTGTCTTGTTGTGTTGAAATGACAGTGAGGAGCTGACTTGATCATGGGCCGCAAGAAGATCCAGATCAAACGCATTGAAGACGATCGCAATCGCCAGGTGACTTTCGCCAAGCGCAAGAACGGTCTGTTCAAAAAAGCCATGGAACTGTCCAAGCTGTGCGACTGCCAGATCGCGCTCATTGTGTTTGATTCCAACAACAAGCTGTATCAGTACTCGAGCATGGGTGTGGACCAAATCCTGCTGAAGTATACCGAGTTCGGCGAGCCGTCAGAGACCAAGAACAATAACGACGTGAGTGCTGCAGTGGAAACAAGAAAGCTTCTGCTGCGGCAACGATTTTTGCGTGAATGGTCGTTTCGCTGACACGTGATTGTTGATGTTGTTGTTGTGTTCGGTGTTGTTGATGTTTTCGTGCCACTTGCAGTACGACATCATGTTTGGTGAAAAGAAGAAACAGTTGCAACAAGCGGCGAAGGAAGCAGCAGCTGCAACAGCAGCGGGTAGCGCATCGATCAACTTCAGCATGCCTTACGAGCCGAATTCGGGTGGAGCGGCGGTGCATACCTTCCAGTCCATGCACGGCGGAATGAACGATGCTCTGGTAGAGCTGAGTAACGACCCCGATCAATACGTGCTGGACTCTTGCAGCCGACCAGTGACACAGAAAAAACGAGCGCATGGCAGTTTCCAGCAGCTTTTGAAGAAGGAGCACGTAAATTACGCACCGCCTGCGCTGCCGTTATACCAGCACGTACGTGGTATAGCTTGTCCTGTATTGCAATGACGCCATTCGGTTGTAAGAAGACAGTCTAACGCGTTGTGGGCTTTTCGCAGACGGGAACGCTTGGTGGACTGCCGAATCAGCACATGCTCGCCGCACTTCCCAACGCGCCGAGTTTCTCGGGTGTTTTACCATCACCAACTAGTAAGTTTGGCAACGCTTGTAATTGATGCGAGATCGATTTTTGTACTAACATGATGAATAACGTTTTGGTAAATCAGCGGCTGGCATGCTACTTCACGACTTCAGCCCCCAATCGAACGCCGGTCTTTTTGGACAGCAATCTATGCTTGTTGGCGGTATGCCGGGAGAGCTGTACGACAGCAGAAGTGGCGTTTTCGGTCTGAACCTTTTGTCGTCCGACTTCAATCACCGTGGAGGCAGCAGTGTAAACCCGCAGCAACTGCAAGCAAGAGACTCATTCTATATTGCGAAGCCGAGCGTTTTGCCCGACACGTCTGCCGGTAAAAGTTCGGGCTCGATGTCTGAATGTGACGAGTCATTTGCAGACAACGAACTTCCCCAATTTGACGAAATGGTTTGCAAAGTTGAAAACTTCTCGAACCTGTCACAGCAAGACGATGCTTTGGGCATCAGTGAAGATTCCAAAGCTGCAAAGACGAATGCGACAACGGATGGTGAGAAGTCAGTCCCGGACTTCCTGCCAACACCGAAGTGTGAGTTGAAGCAGAGCGGTTGCGATGATGCATCAGCTTCAACTTCGGCCACCAAATGCAGCGACATCCAGGTCGCATCCCCAACAAAAGCTGCAGCAGCTTATGAAGCGCGCAGTCCAAGCATTACGTCCGAGTTACCAGGCACTGTCACAGAGAAGCGCTCGCACTCGAATTTGTCGGGAGCCGCTGATGCAAGTTTGCACAAGCGTCAACGTGTGGTTGTTTGACGCATTATCCGGTCATCACTCGCAGTTTTGACGGCAGGTGCGGTCACCCTTGCCGTCCGCTCGGCAAACTATATCCTGTCGTAATTTTAGAGTCAAATAATAGACAACACTTTCTCTTGAGACGTCAGCGCAGATCGTGCTGGTACATGTATTGCACATGCCAGCCCACGTCGTTTGATAACTGATGGTTTTCCACGCAAACCTTGTCATAACGAAGAAACTTGGACCAAACCACTCTACACGACTGACTAAAGGTGCAAGAAGTGCTTTAATTACACATATCGTGACGGTTTTTGCGAAAAATGACATAGATACAAATTATTTGCAAAACATGACATCGTTGTTTCGACCACTCGTATTCCGTGCAATGTAACTGGATGAACTCACTCGCCATCTGACAGTCAGTCAGCTAGCCATCCAATTGCTATGGTCAAGAAGCTGCGCATAGGCAAGGTAAATTAACGGATGGTTGAGCTCCATTCCTTGATCAAGATCTTTGCCACTGCCGTGACTGACAGATCCTGGGACGCAGAATCAAAGCTGCCCATGCTATGCGATACACGCATTATTTATCGATTTTGAAGTGGCAAGATGCAGACTTCGTCCACAATATGAATTGTGGTCGATTGTGGCTGCAGCACTAGCGTGATTATCATATAAGCAGAATTTTGCTGTCTTTCAGGTCCTAGTCGCCATCCCGATATCGAGGTGAGTTTGCAACAAGCGTAGTATCAGTTAGCAAGTAATGGCTGCAGCTGCGTCTGATCGGATCTACAATGAGCGTTTATACCGTCAATAATGGGGACTCGAAGACAACCGGTATCAGGAAATGAACCCGTTGTGCCAAGATGGTAAATTGTAACGCTATATACTGTGAATGCCTTTGGTGGGGGTCACCAATTTACAGCGTCACTCGAAAATGGAGTGGACTCGTCAGGCAACGGAATCTTCAGCCGGTACGGGTGCCTTTTTTGTCGCTTTCTCGAGATTTCAGCAAATTATTTCGACGGAACTGCAGTCAAGAGGAATTTAGACAAGCTGTGAAGGAAGCAAAGGCTGATTGAATTGGAAGACTGCGTGATCGACACCTGCGCAAGATGAAGTGCTTCAGGCCATTCGTAATATCTGTCGAATGCGTCGATATAAACACAACTTGAGCATGTCTAACAATTGCGTGGGATTTGTGCATGTATTGAAAATGACCTTTTCAGATCACGCCAAGTCACATCATTTCTCTAGCATTCATATTGTTTAAGCTACTCAGCGTTGCCTTCATTCAGCATATAAACCTGGCAAGGTAGAATTTTGCCAGAACTCTGCTAATACAAGAAGATAGATCGCGGATGTCGTTGATCGTGAATAGCGCACAAGGGCATTTATTTCTTGTGTTTTGCGCATCATTACCGACTATTTAAGAGTCGATAATGATGCTCAAGGCACTCGGCGATAAGTCACTCCAGTTGACAGCAAGTCAAAGCCAAAATCGACACAATACTATCAGTCATGTATTCGACACCAGGTGGATAAAAAGTTGCAGCTGCGTCACACTTCATAGAAGCCCAAGCACAACACCCATCAGTTGATTGAGATACCTCACTCCTAGAGATGATCGTCACACCTTATAAATGGGTTTCTTGTCTTTGTTTCACGAGTAAAACTAAATGGATTACTGACGTTTAGTCTACTATAACAGCGTCACGTCATTGCCCATGATCGTCTAGTAGAATGCACTTCTTATATCTATGCGGTTAGATGTTGATTACTGCAAGGGTATCAGCGTGGAACAATTGTCGCTCAATTATATTCCAGTAGAAGCACAAATCTGTGCAAAAAACGACGCAGCAGATATGACTAACATTGCTGTGGTTAGACAAAGTGGCTACACAAAAATGACGCTTTATATCAGCGCATCAGCAGCCGATCTATGGCGCTTGAAGACTTACATTGAGATCCAGCTGGTCATAAGAATGGCAATTGGTGAAAATATGGATACCAACGATCTGTGTAAAGGTGGATAACAAGCGGTACAATCACAATGAAATGGTTACGTTTAGGTACACGTACGGCGCATCATACTATTGCGTAAATCAGGAAGTACTAATTACTCAATTGTCGGATATTGACACGTGTTAGCCACCTACGGAGATACATTTTACGTTGTACTGCAATAGATAGTAAGATCTGCTATTGAAGTTTATGAAATTCGGTATTTACCACCGTAAGCCATGAATTTTTATTTGCACCATATCACGTTTATAGCTATAGGAGTTAGGTACGTTCGTTGTTACAGCTTAATGCTGAGACCTCGTTCTGCGACTTTGGTATATTCTTCGCACTGTAAGATAATAAGCGTCTTGGTTCTGCATAATGGAGTTGGTTTGTAATAGTGTACTCCGACGATTTGTTGGCGCTTTAATTCTCTATTAAGGAGTTGGTTCAATCTTGTATACTCGGTGAGTTAATATTTTAGCTCCATCGAGATCACTGGATCTTTGAGCCTATACTTCTTCCTCCATCACAGAACTTTTCAGCTCCGCTACAATCTCAAATTAGGCAACACGTCCATAGAAAGAATATTTCGGAATACTTGTTACAACACCTCGCAAATTATTATCTGTACTGCAATCGCATCGATCTGTGGCTGAGCAGCTACCCTGATCCAAGCGCTTGCTTGAATACGCAAAAACACCAATTTAAATGTACGTATCTGCAAAGGAGGAAAATCGTTACATTTGAAAGAGACGTTTAGTACTCATGATACCGTAGTCGGGTTCACTTTAGCGAAAATATTAGTTTCTAATTTCTGTCTAAAAGTGCTTCACAGATCTAGCTAAATTGTGCTAATTAACGTCTGTAGTGGGCAATATCACGGGGTGACCCTGTTAAAGATCGTTGTACTGATTGACGATATTTACAGCATTACTCTTGCAATTCAATATTGAATGAATACTACCTTGAGAGGTAAAATTCGGCCCCACTTTACACTTCGTTGATATAGGCCCTTATATTATCCAAACAAACACTAATTGCTGCTGGCGCGCGCAGTGGGTGGTGAGCGAGTTTTTACATTGGAAGTCTGTAAGTTAACATATTGTAAGTAAGAGATAGAATGTCTATAAGCGGATATTTAGATGTACTAAATACGTAGAGCTCAAGTATTCTCGCGTTCTAATCTATGATTTCTCGTATACTTCTTTGCATTTACGGTGTATGTGAAGGTTTACAAGCGCATACCGTTGAACGGTATCAGTTCTAAGATTTACCAGAATCTGGTGAGAATTGTACTCCCTGACAGAATCCTTAGAGATTTGAATGTCACCCGATGCGTAAATGAGAGAAATAATTTGAAATTACAGATGGTCTTGGCGCATTCCAAAGGTGATGATTTTGACGTTTTCAATACTTCACTCGTCACCTCATCATGTAATTTAATTCATTTAGCTACCATGTGTTACTTTGCTCCAGAGTATATACGTTTTAAACGGTTCAAAAAAATCTTATTAGGGCTTTGACGTCACGCATGACCATCGGCTAGACGTGCGCTTCTACACTCCCACTTACAGGAATGTTTGATGCCCTTGGCCTTGATCCTACTTGCTTCACCCAAAGGCTTAAACAACTTGGCTCAATCTTCCTTGGATGGTATGTCCGCTTGTCGATCATTCGTATGTACGTATTTAGTCTTAAGTGTTTATCATATCACGTTATGTCAAATGAAGCGATATCTTGTATTCACATGCTCTATTCATGTTTATAATTAGTTTTTCCGAGCAATTTCCACTAAAATTTCTTACTAAAAAGGGCTATTTTCTTTCACTTCATCGAAAACCATCTACTTAAGCATAGCCCAATCTTAAATCCCTTTAAGTTCAGAAGATCAAAGCCCCTGAATCGGCTTCCTTTGAGCTGATATCGACCATCCTTTGAGACGTGGACTCAGAATTTACCAGAGCATTTTAAACCATTACTATTCCTTGAAAGATGGAATGTTAATAATCAATAAAACTGCCCTATTCAACATCCGTGGAAGTATCAGCAGTTAACTATTTTAAACCCCTGGACACATAACGCCGAGCTCACAGGTATTCTCCAAATATAGCAGATCGTCATAGCCGTCTTTACATGCTTTCTCGAGGTTCGCTATTGAACTTACTTATTGCGTTACCACATAAGTAACATCAGATTCTTTCACAAAATGTGATTGAAATCCCAGAACCCGATCAACCAACGATAAGGTCTAGACATCCTTTGACCAGATCCTCTTCTATCGATAATTATAGAAACTTAAGTAGATTGGTGGCAAGAGCGCATGGGTTTATTAACGTCTTTGATTACTGCATTCTGAAGGCGGTGACCAATACTTCATCAATTTTTCGACTTTTGATCAAGAGAGTTGCTGCTTTCTTGTCTTGTAAAATCCCCATAAACGATATAAACATTATCGTGTACAATTCCCAAATCTTAAAGACGTCTTTAGAATCAAATTTAATTTTAAAAACTGCTCCATCAATTTTACAGAATCGTTATGTCCTAGATTATATGCATACGCATTACTAAGTCTCACATATCCCTCAACAAAAACACCTTGTTCTATACCTCAGCTCAAAACACGGCTCTTTGTAAACGAGATGTATCTTGTATCTCTGCAAGCAGTCGTTTTCTGTTTAAAGTTGCAACATTCTTTTAAACCTTTACAGAATGCACTTATCGGTTTTCAAACTTGATAAAAAGTCCATTTACACCAGTTACACCACTGCTAAAGAATGCTCTATCTGCATCCAGCTACTAAACCACGTCAGCGTATGTCACATACCTAGAAAGCACAACTCGTATAGATCCCACGTTCGCTACTGGTAAGTAAGTTTCAAAGGAATTGAAACCAAACTTCAGACCGATTGCATAAACATCCAATTAAAACTCGTAGCAGATCAACCCCACTTTTTGTCACTCTTTCCAGCAAAATTGAATTGGCAATAAATCGCACGGTCAGCCGATATACG